TAGGGACGGGTGTGGGAAAAGCGGTCCTAATAGTCTGGGCCACAAAAGGGGCACGTGCTCTGGGCCTGCCTGTCCCCTTTTGCCCTACAAATTGATTTCCACCCCTCCCCCCCATGACTTAGCTATAAATCTACTGTTCTGAACCTACTGAAGTCTACAGCATCTGTGTGATCAGGTTCCCCCCCCCCCTTAAATACTTTCCCGTTTCTAGGGGTTGGGGGTGGGAATGGGAAGGGAGAAACCGATCTGGAACCAGAAAAATAGTCTGTAAGGGTTGTTGTTTCCCCCCCTTGACGAACTGGAAAATGGGACGAACTGGAAGAGGGAAAGCACCTCACCCTTAGGAAGCTTCAAGCCTACTGTAGGAAGACAAGGGGCTCTGCTTGGCCTGCGAGTTGCATCAGTAGGGAGTCTGTGTGCCTCACAAGGGTGGGAGTGTGGACTCTGAGGAAGGGTGACCTCCACGTTGCTTGGTTGTTTTGCACGAATATTCAGCCTAATCTCTTAAAACTGCTCTGTCCCAGAGCTCAAGATGGTGATGGATCTGTCTACATGATGTTGCTGCACATCCTCCTCTAATGTGACCATGGACTGATGGATAAATGGGAGAGGGAGAGGTGGCCAGGAAATGTCAATGTGTGTTTGGGGTGGGGATGGGGGGAATTTTATCTTTTAAAGAAAGTAATAGTGTCACATTCGAAGCTTTCTTCCCCCTTGTTTGCTGTATGCTGAGGTATTGTGTTGTTGTATTTGTATCCCATTCCTTCTTGTGCACTCCTGTTAAATTTTGATTTTTGTTGTTGTTGCTGAACTATCTTAAATCTCTGGTGTAGTCAAGAGCCTTGGGACACTGGTCTGTAAGGAAACTGAAGGAGGCTTCAGTTCCTGTGGTGTATGTGCACTAGTTTGTCGCACTTGCCTCTGGGCAAACAGGTACTCTTTAATTTAAAACAAAAAAACCCCCAAAATTGTTTACTACAGGTGAAGGTGGCCCCTGTGAGCAGGAGAACCCTTTTCAAACTGCATAAAAGTCCAAAAATAATCGTATGTCTTGAACTTTGAAGTGGTGTGTTCAGATCTGAATGCGCTTAACAGCTTAGCCAGAAAGTAAGACTACTCGGATTTAGACCTATTTCGGTCCTTTTGACGTCAGTGGCGCCAAAATCATTGAAAATGAAAGTATTTTTAGAATAATGGCTCACTTCTTAGCCTAGACAGTTGGTATAAGGTCAATGGTGCTCACTGCTTCCTTGAGACAGAAGTGCTTATAGTATATTTAATACCCCCCCGCTAGATTGTAAATTTTGTTGCAGCACCTCCTGCAGTATTTGAATTTAGTATTTGTATCCTTGTTTGCACTTTAAACTATAAACAGTGTTCTCTGTTTAGCATTTCACTTCTAGTTCTTTAGTGGACATGCAAGTTTGGTATCGGTTTAATATTCTAGGGTTGGGTTTTAGGCTAAAAATGCCCTATAAGTTACATAAGAGTAAAATATCTAGTTAATGTAGTGGTTTACTAAATAGGTGTTTGGATAATGTATGAGCATGAAGTTGGCCTCACTGTTCCTGTGATGCATAGTAACTTGTGGTCTTCTAGAAATGGTGTTGGAGTCAAATCTTGCTTGCTTAGGTGATAGAGTTGATAGAGCCAGTGTGCATGCAGCAGCATCTAGGCTATGGGACAAGTGGAACTTGTAATATTTATGGGGCAACTGTGTATGTGCTGTTCAGTAGCATGTGTTCAGCCTATCAAGTGAGCTGTAAATCTGTAGATGATGAAGTATTGTCTTGCTCTGGTTCAGCTGATGATAACTAGACTAGTAGAACTTGGAAGCCGCTATAATGACCGGGAAAATGCAAGCAGTTTGTTCACTCACAGTGCAATCCCAAACAGAGATGCATCTTTCTAAGCCCACTTAAGTCAGTGGGCTTAGATGGGTGTAACTGTTTAAGAGTGCATTGTCAGTTGCAGAACAGGAGAAATGTTACATTGCTAGAGTATTGTCTCTTCAGTGATAACCTGAGAAGAAGAACCTTGATCTGCCCTTGTCTGAGTCTTTTCCCCTCCTGTTTTCCTCTGCAGACCCAGAAGAAGGCCTCTTGTTCCTAAATAGCTATCTCATTCCTCTGGCACTGGACCAGCGTGTGGTTCATGCTTTTCTTTCAAAAAGCACTGATTGCATCATTATGGGGAAGGACTCTTTAAATGCAAATAACTGCTAAATAGTGGGAAATTCTGAGTTTCTGTATTCCAGTGTTTTTCTGTCTTTGTTTTGAAGTTCAATATTTTTGGTTTGTCAAAATAAAAGATTGCTTTGTATTTATTAGAAAATGCAAAACTTGTGATACTGGAGAAAGTGGAAAACCAATATTCTTATTAAACTGGTTCAGTCTTGAATGCACATAACTTGATGTCATATCAACATGTTATTTATGTCCTGCTTGGGGCTGTTTGATTGTAATTTGTATTTATTCATTGTGATTTTAGAATTTTTGATGGGAGGAAGGGAAGGGCATAGAGTTAGAGTCTTGCAAAAGTTCCCCTTTTCCATCCAAGAGAGCAAATTTAAATAGTGTAGACAAATTACAGCTAGAACTGCATCAAACTTGAAATCCATTTTAAGCAATGTATCACTTAATGGTCTTGTCAGTTAACTGTTTTCTGACCCAAAGAACCAAGTGCCATGCTGCTTCTGTCTCATTCTTGACAAACTAGCACCCAGATGCAAAGTTTCCAGTGCAAGAACATAATTCTGCACAAGGGAACCTTTCCTGTTAACTTAAATGTCAGAAGAGTCCAAGGAGAACTGGGATGTTCCTATACATCTTGTGCTTAGGGTCATTATTGGAGCCCAGATATTGAATTTAGATTTATTGGAATCCAGATTTAGGTTGGTGCCAGTCTTCAAAGTATATCAAATGGGAGATAAGGAGGGCATGCCCATTGGAGCGCAAGCCTGTACAGTCTTAAGGAAGCAAGCCTATTCATTTGGAAACAAAACTTTAAAATAAATGCATGCAGTCCATATTTTTATCAAAGTTAATATGTAAAGTCTATTAATGTTTTGCAATTTTAAAAAATGCTTTCTGCAGGAAACTCAGACCAGTGTATCTGATGCTCTCATACTTTTCCATTCAAACACTAACCAGAACTGAAGCCTGTTTAGTTTCAACAATGGTAACTCTCATTACCTTTCGCAGACTTTTCTCAGACTATGTTCTCTCTGTTTATTTTTAACAATCATATATCAAATAGCTCAGCAGGA